AGCGACGGAAGGATCATATTCTCTCTTGATTTCCTGGTGTCCATTGTCGTTCAAGTACATCGATTGCTCGGCACATGACTCATTACTCTTTGTTCAGTGAAAGAACTCGTGATGAAACGATTCCATATTTCTTTCTGCAGGCTGACCTCTAGATGGATTGTCTCCTGCCCTTGAGTGCAGATTTTAAACGGAATTACTTTTCTACGTGTGGGGCTGCCCCAAATTCATAGCAGCTCTGATCAGCGTCCAGCCACAATCGCTCCTGACTTTCAAGGGCTCGTGATAAACGTTCACTACTACCTTACTATGTATGTATGCATGCATGTATGTATGTATGTATGTACGTATATATGTATGTATGTATGTATGTATGTATGTATGTATGCATGTATGTATGATGTATGTATGTATGTATGTGTGTATGTATGTATGTATGTATGTATGTATGTGTGTATGTATGTACGCTGTATGTATCTATGTATGTACGTATGCATGTATGTATGTATGTATGTATGTATGTATGTATGTATGTGTATGTATGTATGTATCTATCTATGTATGTACGTATGTATGTATGTATGTATGTGTGTATGTATGTGTGTTATACGTATATATGTATGTATGTATATATGTATCTATGTATGTGTGTATGTTTGTGTGTATGTATGTATGTATGTATGTATGTATGCATGTATGTATGATGTATGTATGTATGTATGTATGTATGTATGTATGTATGTATGTATCTATGTATGTATGTATGTATGTCTAATGTATGTATGTATGTATGTATGTATGTACGTATGTATGTATGTATGTAGGTATGTGTAAGTATGTATGTACGTATCTATGTATGTATGTATGTATGTATGCATGTATTAATGTATGTATGTACGTGATGTCTGTTTTGTGTAGGTATGTATGTATAAATGTATGTATGTATGTATGCATGTATGCATGTACCTATGTATGTATGGATGTATCTACGTATGTATGTATGTATGTATGTATGTATGTATGTATGTATGTATGTATGTATGTATGTATGTATGTATGTGGTATGTATGTATGTATGTATGTATGTATGTATGTATGTATGTATGTATGTATGTATGTATGTATGCATGTGATGTATGTATGTATGTATGTATGTATGTATGTATGTATGTATGTATGTATGTATGTATGTATGTTTGTAATGTATGTATGTATGTATGTATGTATGTATGTATGTATGTATGTATGTATGTATGTATGTATATGTGTATAGTATGTATGTATGTATGTATGTATGTATGTATGT